AAGGGGGAGGGGGGAAAAGCACACAAGGAGGGTGTGTGTTTTGACTGCACTTGGTATTTTGCTACACATTGTTTTCATTTATGGCTGAGTCTGATAAATAAACACGTTTGACATCACTGATACATACAACATTAGCTGGGGCCTACGAGAAAGCCAGGCTCTGCTAGAGCTTCTGCCCATGGCATCTGCTTTGGGGAAGGGGGGTGAAGGGGTAGAAGGGTGAGTCAAATATATATATTTTTTCTTCTTGGTGAAATTATCTGCCAGGGAAACAATGAAGCGTGAAAAAGTACTATTGAGAGCGCATGTCTACATATGCTTTACAACTGCTAGCCGGTACCTTTGGGATCCTTCCCTTCCTATAAATGTATATGCATCTATGTTTTTACATTTCAGTGGGTTTTTAAAAAACGAATATTACATTGGAAAACAACTGCGCCTATTCCAGTTTCGCACGTCTTAAAGCGACAAGCACCGGATCGCTTTGCTACGGGTCAGTGTAGACGACCCTCAGACAAGTGGCATAATTGATTAATACGGAGGTTATATATTTAAGAGCCTTGTTCTCTAACGCAAACATCTTTTCTTTAAAAAAGGAAGGAGACTCAACGGAAGTCAGGGGCAGGTGGTAGCCTACCATTGCAGATAATACTATGGCTACTGACAATATATATTTTTTTTAATGCACAATTCTCACATAAATTTCATTTCATGAAATACACTGGTAAGTACATGTTGCTGGGGCTTCCAAAATGTAGCTTGTCCCACTGATGGCTCCAACTTGCGAGTGGGCTCAGTTCTGTAATTGGAACGAAAGGAATTTGAACACTATTTAGACAAAGACTCAAATGCAGTGTAAAGGGAAAGCTAGATTTCATCATATATATATATTTATATTTAATTTAGTGACTTATTTGTAACAGGGACACTTAGGCAGAATTTAGGATTTCTTTGTTTAAAAAAAAAAAAAAAAAAGCATGTATTTGTGTTCACGGCTCTACTTCGAAGTTCTCAGTAACAATTATTTCCAAAAACACCTTTCACGAGGCACTAACCTCCTCTTAAAGCCAGCCACCAAACCCCCGTTTTTGTTGGCACCCCTCTATTTGCCTTCTAATGTTTTGGGCCAGATCTTTCTTATTATATCGAACTGCCTGTAGGGTTCTATCAAAATCCTTAATTGTTACCCAACTGTATTTTTTCTCCCAAGTCCCGTTCCTCATGAGATCGTCACAATAACTCCATCCTGCATGTCCCTCTTATTTTAAGAATGTGTTTGCCTAAAATCTGTCATCTGATGCTGAGCTTTTCTGCATCAGTGACATCTTCATTTCTGCTTCTTCAGGGGGAGGCGGCCTATCTCGGAGTCAGGATCAGAGGAAAGACAAGGGGGGGAAAAATCTCGGAAGCAGAGAGCAACTAACATCTAGCACATGAAGTGGTTTACTATTAAACTTTTGCTAGGCAAAATTAAATGTGTATTTGGGAGCCCTATCTGAACTGGCACAGAAAGGAAGGTCAAAATGTACAGGGTATGAGCTGTTTATGGGAAAAACAAAAAGGGGGGCGGGGAGGGGGTGGGAGGAAGACATGATGATAAACTGGCCAGAACTCATCAGCGCCAAGCACTACCTGTTTTCTTCAAAATAAGGCCTTTGGTCAGAGTTGCAATATTATCTTAAAAAAGAAACAGAGAACGAAATAAAGCAAAAGTCATGGTGCTTCGCTCTATTTTCAAAACAGTATTGGCTTTGTCTAACATTCTGTTCGTGTGAGAATTCTAGGGGAAGTTGACCAAGAGTTGCATGAATTTGTGTCATTTTAAAATAGGTCAGTGCTGTTAGGGAAGGTAGCGCAAGACTTTCCAAATGATACACAGCATGTTTTGGGGGGTAGATACCCACAAATCAAAGCACACCCTTTATTCCACCAGGACATTATTTTGGGGAGCAGATTTCAGGGACGGAGGTGATCTGAAATCATTACCAGCTCATCTGTTAAATATTGACCGGGAAATACTATTTAATAACAGAGCTTAAACCCAGATATGTACTTGGAGTTCTGTAAGTGAGGGATGGATTTTTCTTTTTTTTCCTATTGAAGAAGAATGACCTTCAAAGTTAAAACACAAACAACTCTGATTTGTCCAAAGTGTGGATATTAAATCTTGTCAGGCCTTGCTAACAAGAGAATCCTGGCGCGGAAGGGAAGAAGGGAAAAAGAATCAATTTTAGCCCGGAAGTGAGCACCGTTGATCTTTGCCGTAATATGCACAGGCACCCAAGCCACCTCTGCCATGCCTAATTTTCCCGGCTTATCTTCATCTCCATGGGCACGCTGCTGGCTCAGATGCTCAGGCCATGCTGGGAAGGCCCTGTTCTATGGCTGGGAATGTTGTTTATTTTCACCAGAGGGCACTGATAGCTCAACTCCTTTGAAAACTTTAGCGGGGAAGGGTTGTGGGGTGTAAAATATGACAGGTCATCATTTATGTTTATATTAAATATTGCTAATTATTAAAAGGAACTGGCCTCCTCCCGCCTCACCAAACAGCCTATGCTTCACCCTGAGTTACCGCCTCCCTACTCCTCTATTAATCCTTCTTCTGGAGAAAAGTGTAAAAGGGTGCATTTTACACTTCACATGCGGTGTTGGGCCCAGTTAAACTGCACGCTAAGAAACTGAGTACAGAATCAAAAAAAAAAAAAATGCAGTTTATTATTGTAGATTATTCTTTCTCTTGATATAACCAGAATTGAAAATGAAAGAAAAGCACATAGGAACATCACGCGTGGTTAGTTAGTAACTCAAGATATAAAACAATTTTGCACAGCAAAATATGGAAAAGAAAAGTAACTGACAAGATTTTTTTATATTTATTGTGGTAAGATTTACTTTTCATTTTTTTTGTTTGTTTGTTTAAAGACAGGATGTCAGTCCCTGAAAATAACATTTACTGATTATTGCCTTTAAAACTGTGGATTTTTTTTTAAGTTACAGAAAATCCAGTTCTGCACCACAATACAACTGTAAAAAAATCTGCATCATTTTAAAACTGTGCAGTAATGCCATTTTTATAACTGCATAAATTTTATTAGCGTTCTAAACAGTTTTGCAATTTTTTTTTGTATTATATGCTTGCAGGTTATATCTTAGTGCAATTCAGTCCCAAATACTTTAATTTTGAAGAAAAAAACAAAACACATACATTTTGAATGTAAAATACCCCTACAGATATAAACAGGGGTGTTTCCCCTTTTAATACTTTGGTTTTCAATACAGTCAGTGGTATAGCAAAGACTACACATACCCAACTTATATTTAAGTTGCAAGCACATGCTGTATAAGCTACTTTTTAAACAGTCCCCTTGCAAACTCTACCCCCCTTAACATCACAACAGTAAACAATTTAGTGCATCAATCTTTTAAAAAATCTACAGCTAAACAGACCTAACTCTTTTCAGATTTATCTAGAACATTCCTTTATCTGTAGCATACATTTTAACTGGGCTAACAGATTATAAAAACTAGAATTAAATTATATACTAGAAACCCAGAGCATTCCACATTTGACAATGACCAAAAGCAAAAAGAAAAAAAAGAAAACTAAAACAAACCAAAAAAAAATAACGGGGCAGATTTCTTTTCTTGAAAAAATAAATTTTAGACTGCTTTCGGAAACAGCACAAATTTGAGTCCCCCAAAGTGGGGTGCCATTCTTACTCAAAAGAAAACATTAGGAGTTCTTGAATGTTTGCCACTTAAATTTTTTTTTTAACCCATCCTGGCATCTTTGACAAGGAATGCCTTCAGTGCATTTACAATGGGAGGCTGAAGTTCTGAGTAACTCAAAGCAATTTTGGAGCAGATGCAAACTTTCATGGGGAGAAGGCTCTAGGGTTGCACTTTTTCGTTCTGAACTCAAAAAAGTCATGAGGCAATAAAACAAGAGTATGAATGCCATGCCATAAGTCTTTGAACGTCCATTTCCAAGCCAAAAGGAGAAAAAAAAAAGAAAAAATAATTATACCGTACATGTCCAGCATGCAGGCTTTTTTTTTTTATTAATATAATGTCTCTTTTCCATAAAGTTTTTGAAACAGTTATAGTTCATCGTTGCTAAGAGAAAGGAGCAAGCATAATAATGCATGAGATGAGAATGAGTTTTTGTTTTTTTTTAATGGCAGACTGAACTCTCAGGTTTGGCATCCTAAGGCCAAAACTCACAAGTCACACCCAGAAGGCTGATGCAGGCTTGATTGTGGCAGGTTCATGAGGATTTTTTTTCTCTATTTTAGCGTAACAGTGCTAAAAAAAATAACCCGATGGAACTCAGCACGCTGCAAGTCTATAACATTTCACTTTTTTTTTCCTTTGCAAGCTCAATCTCACATGAAGAACTCAGGTGGAGAATAAAACAAAACATCTTAGCTTTTTTTTCCTCTTTTATCTCAGAAGAGATGGGTGGAGAAGGAGTTGAAGGTAGAGGTTGAAAAAAAAAAAAAGTCAACACAGCAAGCTCCAAAAAGTAGAATTAAAAAAAAAAATCCAAACAAAATAAAAACACACACACAGAAAAATGGAACACCAGCTCATGAACTGAAGAAGAAAAAGAAAAAAAAAACATATGTAAATGATGCAGGCTTCAAAGGTGAGCATGAAGAACTCTGCTGAGATCTTTGAACATTGTGCAAAGGGGACCGGGGGGAGGGGCATAAAAAAAACAAGCTACCAAGTTATGGAGATTTTCAGATTGGCAATCCATGAGCCAGACATCCATTCCCTCCCCAATTTAAAAACAGCCACCACCGCCACCAACTCGGAGCAGGGTGTGTGTGTGTGTGTTTGGGACATCTGGGGGCGGGGGGCAAACTTGGTAGGGAAGGGGGGCGAGGTGGTGGCCAGCATGGCTCTGGAACTAGTAGCAAGCCCCACTCCCGAGTCGGACCCCCGCGGAGCACTTAGCAAGGTGGCTAGCTGGGATGGCGTGTCAGACTCACATGAAAAACTCGGGAGAGGACGGGTTGTCGCTGCTCGAGCCGTTTTCTCGGAAGCCGCTGCTCACCAGCTTCTCGTACTTCTCCTTGTACGCGTCCCTCTCGCGCACCAGCCTGGAGATCTCCTGCTTGAGGTGGTCGACCTGCTGCAGCAGCTGGTTCTTCTCGGACTCCAGGACGTGTCTCTGCTGCACCCTCTTGAAGCGGCAGGACTGGGCATAGCCGCGGTTTTTCAGGGTCCGCCTCTTCTGCTTGAGCCGGATCACCTCCTCCTTGCTGACCCCGCGCAGCTGCCGGTTCAGCTCGCGCACGGACATGGTCACCAGCTGCTCGTCGGAGAAGCGGTCGTCGAAGTGCAGGCCGCCCGCGGCGGCGTGGTGCGGGTGCGGGTGCAGGGCGCCCCCCGCCCCCGCCGCGCCCCCGCCGCCGCCGCCGCCGCCGCCGCCACCTCCGCCGCCGCCCCCGGCGCTGGCCGGGCCCCCGCCGCCGCCCGCGCCGCCACCGGCCGAGGCGGACGCGCTGCCCCCGGCGCCCGGAGCGCCGGCCGTCGGGTGGTGGTGGTGGCCGGCGGCGTGGTGGTGGTGGTGGTGGTGGTAGTGCGGACCCGCGCCGCTCTGCGCTGCGGCCGCGGCGATCACGGCGGACACCACGGCGGCGGCGGGGCCCATCTCTTCGCCGCTGCCGCCCAGGGAGGCGCCGGCGCCGGCCCCGGCGGCCGCCGCGGATGCCAGCTGCTGCGCCCCGCGCGCGTAGCCATCGAAGCCGCTCTGGAGCTGGTGGCTGTTGCTGATGAGCGCCTCGACCGCGTCCTCGGGGCTGAAGCCCAGCGCCTCGGGGTTCAGCTGCTGCGGGTAGCCGGTCATCCAGTAGTAGTCTTCCAGGTGCGCCTTCTGCTCGCTGCCGGAGCCCGGGCTGGGCGCCGAGAAGCTGGGGGAAGGGGGCACCGAGCTGCACGGCGTGCTCATGGGGGTGGAGGACAGCGAGCCCCCGGCAATGAGACGGCCGCACTGGCTGATGATGCGGTCGGTCTCCACCGGTTCCTTTTTCACTTCAAACTTCATCAGATCGAAGTCATTAACATATTCCATGGCCAGGGGACTGGTGGGCAGGTCGGAGTTGCTCATTGCCAGTTCTGATGCCATTCTCCTGCCGCCGCCGCCGCCGCCGCCGCCGCTCCGCCAGATGGGCTGCAGGAGAGGGGCCAGCGGGCTGTGCTGGGTGGCCAGCGGGTGAGCCAGCTTGCCGGGCTGGGGTTGCTTCTAGCTCGCGCGGCGGTGGCTGGCCCGAAACCTCCGAGCGCGCACACACACCCCCCCTCGCCCTGCCCGCGCCCCCCGCGTCCGCCCTCCCTCCCCCACTGCTCACGCCAAGATGCTCGCTCGCCCCGGCCCCTCCTCGCCTGCTTCTCCTGTAGTGCGCGCCGAGCCGGCGGCGGCTTCAGGCTCGGAAAGGTCCTCCGCGGGCTGCGGCGGCGGCGAAGCCGGAGGAGCCGGGCCGGTGGAGCGGCGTCCCCCGCTCGCCGCTCCGCTGCGCGCTTTGCATAAGGAGGGCTCGCCTCGCCGGCCGGGCTGCAGGCGGGGCGCGCGCGGCGGCCGCTCGGGGCTGGAGGCGCGGCGGGCGGCTGTCCGAGCGAGCGGCGCGGGCCTTGGCACGGGGGAGAGTTAACACTTCATGCTTCTCGCCTCCTCTTCTTCTGCCTGGCTCTCTTTTTAATTTTTTGTTCTTCTCTTTCCTCTCTCTCTTTCTCCCTCGCGCGCTTTCTCCGTGCAAAGTGCAAAGACAGAGAGGTGCAGCCGCCGGGCTCGAGGGAAGGGAGGGGGGAGTTGAGTTCTTTCTTGCCTTTTTTTTTTTTTTTTTTTTTTTTTTTTTTTAAAGCAAAATAGCGAAGTCCTAGGGAAAGGCAAGGCAGAGAGAGAGCAAAAGGGGGGGGGGGGGGGAAGACCCGAGCCGACGAGCAGCCTGAGCTGCAGCCCGGAGATGAAAAAAGATTTTAAAGCCTCTGATCCAGCAAGAAGAGTTTAAAGCAATTGCTGAGTTTTATAGTGCTTGTGACGTCAGGCCCAGATGGGAAATTGACTGGCACTCCGGGCCAATGGGAGGCGGCGAGCGCGGCCGCGATTAGCATAATAGTATAGAAACAAGGAAACTTTTCGGAGCTGTCAATCAGGGCCCAATCAGCTGACTGTCAGCTGGGACGGGCGCGCTTAACCCTTCCCGCGCCACAGCCTCCCCCGGAGCGAGCAGAGCGGAGCACAAAGTTTGGTGAGAGAGAGAGAGCGAAGAGTTTTCCAAGAGGGGCTGCGGGAACCTGGGAGGACAGGGAGGTCAGTTTGATTTGCTTTGGAGCTCGAAGAAGAAGCCTGTTTTCCGGAGGAGTCCCAGCCTGCCCTCCACTCACTCACTCTGCAGGGATCGGCCTGGCTGCCCTCCCCTGCCAGCTCCCCGTCCCCAGGATTGTAACTTAGCCTGGCAGCCCTCCCTCCTCGCTCCACCTTCGGCATCCAGGTGTTTGCCCCAGGGATCTCCCCCCCCCTCCCCTTTCCCCGCCCCAGCCTGGCTGTGCCCAGAGCTTAAACTTGGCCCCAACTCTTTGTCCCTCTCGCGTTCCCCGCGCGCGGGGGCACCGGGGTCCCGACTGCATGCCTGACGCTGCTCCGCCGCGCTCCTGGCCAGTGGGTCGGGGTCCGCGGAGAGAGAAAGCCCGTTTTATCTATCTCCCTCTTTAAAAAAAAATTTATTTATTAAAGGAGGCAAAATGACTTGTTCAGGGGCCATTATACGCGGGGACCGGCTGCTCGCTGGCGTCGCGTGCCCTGGGGGGAGTTAACTTCGGGAAAGCTCCGAGTATGGGCAGCCCGCCTCAGCCCTCGGGCTTCCGACTATGGCTGGAGTTTGACCTCTGAGATTCGTTCCCTTTCTTTCTTTCCTTCTCTCTCTCTCTCTCTCTCTCTCTCTCTCTCTCTCTCTCTCTCTCTCTCTCTCTCTCTCTCTCTCTCTTCTTTGACACACACACACACACACACACACACACACACACAGACACACACACACGCTCGCGCTCACTCACCCCTATGAAATCTGACCCCTGTTTATCAGGGTCCCGCACGCCCTTTGCACTTTTATGTTTCAGTAATTATTTTATACTGGATCGTGACAAGGGACCAGGGGGGTGGAAAAACAACACCCCGTCGTTCCCCAGCTCCCTTCGAAGGGTTAAATTTTAAACCGCGGTTTCTCGGACAAGCCCGGAAACGCAGAGTGGGGGTGGGGTGGGGAGCAGCTTCCCCCCCCTCCACCTCCCCATTACAGATGCTAATAACTGTTCAATTTTCTAAATCGATTCTTTTAAAGCTTATGCAAGAAGAAAAAAGGAAAAGAAAGAGAAAAAGAAACAACCAACAACTCAGTTTCTAAGATTTTAAAGCGATAGGCAAGTCGGAGAAGCTGAGATTTACTCTTTGGGGGAAAAGCAAGCGTGCGCGAGCGAACCCAGCGTTTGGAAGACCAGCCCGCCTGCTTGGATGTTGATGCTTCCAATTAATGAAATACATTTGGTGCTAATGCTATATATTTATTATTATTATTTTTTTTTATTTTGTGAGAGGGGAAAATGCTAGGAGGGTGCATTAAAAAAAAAAAAATTCTGAAAAGCCTGCAAAAGGATCGAAGAGTGAAAACTATTGTTGGATCGAGTTGGTTTTTACCTCAACAGCGCCACCTTTCGGCAAAGGTCAGTTGAAATTGATCCGTGTCCAGTTTTGTTGAAGTGAAAAGAAGCTGGTTTCCCAAGATGGGAGGAGGAGAGAGGCGCAGGAAGTTTGACTGCAGGGGGGAGAACCCGGTAAGGGGCTGAGAACAGTGCAGGCAGGTGAGGGAGTTATCTTTCCTCCATTGTCCTCCTTGAATGTCGACCAAGGGGACAGGGGACACAGAAGCCTTTTGGAGTGTAATCCTGTCTCAGAGCCTTTAGCAAGTGGATCCCATGTAACAGGGCCCCAAGCCCTTTAAAAGTGTCAGGATGGATTTCCAGCGGGCTTTATGGCAATATCAATAGAATTAAAGTTACTTGTAATTCAGTGATAAATGAGATGTCTCTAGTAAGTAAGATTAAATGCAGTGCTATAAAGTTGTTTATCTGAAAAGTAATTCTCAGAAAACCTGACTTCTGACACTTAGTCATATATTAAGCCCCGCGTCTTGAGCATTGCACTTCAGAAGGCTGTCACCCACCCCGCGGCATACTGTACTATTTGTAACGAGACCTTAGGTGTCACTCACTGGCTTCAGACTCCGGATCAGACCTGCATTAATTTCTCGGATGCTGGCAGCCTTGGGTTGCAGCAGACCGCAGGGATCCTAATGAGAGAATCCCCCAATAAGGGTTTGTAGGCACATCAGAATCCTAAAAGGCCGGTGCTGTTGGTATTTTCCAGAAAAGCCCCTTTTCTTTTCATCATTACTTCAGCGAAGCTGTTTATAAGGGTAGTTTTGGTTTTATGGGAATACTTTGTAGGGATGGAATGAAGTATGTCTATTACCAGTTTGGTGGAGAAAGAGTGATGGTTATGTCAATATTTATGCAACCTAACAGAATTCCTTTGCTTTCCACCTCTTAAACAGTATTTTACCTAGTAATGAAGTTAAGGGATTACAGCTTGTTTATTCAGAGGAAATTCTTAAACTACATAAACATATTATGTCATTTAGCATTGCTCATAGCAATAGGTTTCTAGGCTTCTTAAAAATCATTAGCCACAAATGTCTGAAGTTTATAATTATTCATGTAAAACATGAATTTAAATGCAGTTAGATGAATTGCCTCTTTTTTGTTTATATATATATGTATATATATATATATATATATATATATATATATATATTAATCCTTTGGCAACGCATTTCTGTTAAAAGCTGTAAGAAATGATCCTTGTCTGTCATGAAAGTATTTTTGGTCAGGAGCACTGAAACTTCTGCATTCATAAACAACATTTATAAACAAAGTTTGCTCATGAGGAAGACCATGTGATATAGATTCATGGCCATGCACCTAATTGTTACAATTATATATCATTTTTAGAAATTAAATGCTCATGTTTGGGCAGCTAAATGTATTATTATCTGCACATTTTTTATGGTTTATTCCTGTACACTGCTGTTAAGCCATGGTATTTTTCTTCCTCATATTGCAGAGTCTTAGTCTCTTATTTTCTCTTGAGGGAAAAAAAAAGGAGAGAGAGAGGACCAGAATTATTTATTTTAGATGTGTAGCAGTAGTGCTCTCAGACTTACAACTAAATTCTCATTTTTGTCCTTTTTACTTTGTTATTTAGTGATTCACAGGGGTGTCCAAACATTTACAGTTCTCCGTTAGTGGCATTTCTTTTACAACAATCGAGCTCTCTTGTTTTAATTAGTACTATTCAGGCTTTTGATTCGGCACAATTACAGCAGGCCACATCTCTTTAGACTTCTGTCCTCACATTGTTTGTTTCACTTCTCTCCAAGCCCATCTAATCCAAATATAATACGAACCCTGTTTCCGTGCTGCTTAATATCCCCTTGCTGTACATACGCTAGTAATCTCTGTAGAACAATACAGAGTAATTTCAAAACCATGCTTTTGTCATTATTGACCAATTCAAACCAGTAGTATTAAAGTTTCAGAAAGCCGTGAATATTTATAGAAGTTTGGGAGGGAGGAGGGCATGAGTCGAATCATGTAGAAGATTGTGAAACCATAACATCCAGAACACAATCGTAGATTCGTGTCAGTACCCAACAACTTGGGACAAAAAGAAGGAAAACCCTGTTCGTGTCCAAATGACAATGATTAAAAGTTAAAAATAATACGGTATATATCTTTTTTCCCTGATGGTGAGTTACAGCTCCTCAGGTAGATCATGTTGGAATCTGACAGAGATAATCAGAAAAAGAACAAAATTCACCAAGAAGTGTAGTGTCCTTGCTTTTCCAGGAGCTGATTTTCTGGTACAGAACTAACCAGGCCCGCCCCATTTCACTGTGAACCTCGCTAAAGTGATTTGAAAAAAGTAACTGGGTGATCACATAGACTGTTCTTAGCAGGTTAGATATATCCTCATAACAGTCTTTAGTTAGCAGGGTAAGAAAATCACAAATCACTGTTTGCAGATTCACGGAGGAAAATTAATAGAATCAGGCGAGATAATCTGATAAGGGCAAAATTGCTGAGGAAACAGTCTTGCCTCATATTGGGGAATGTGAAACAACCGCCTGATTACTAGGAGTCGTTATGAATAGGTGAATTATGTGCTAAATAATCATCAGAGTAATTCAGCCTTTATTAATTCTTTTCTCTTTAAGCGATTCACAGTTGTAAGTTAAAGCCGATCTCTCTTTGAAGACACATCTTTTATAATTTTTATTGGAGGTAATTTATTATTTGCATTACCTGTATTTACCTCATAATTGAACATTTTGCATTCAAATTTATGTAATGCATTATGCTTGAGAATATATTTCTGCCTGATTAGCATAAATAGTCACTTACCTCATGAATTACTAACAAAGTTTATCTTAAAATATAGGGTTTTTTATTAAGTGGAACACAAACATATGTACAATAAATTCTGATTTTCCGGTGCAGTTAGAGAACAGCTCACATTTGATTTCGGTGAAAAGAGGCTACAAGGGGAGGGGAGTAATCTCAAGTATTCTATCTTGAGAAGGAGGCAAAATACAAATGAGATTGGGTAGGCTTCTTTCAAAAGGAGGAGTTTTCTGATGGGGGTGTATGACTGGAGTGGGCGAGGGGCAAGTGCTGAAGGAGGGTCTGGGCTCTCCATACACTGTTTTAGGATGCTTACTGGAGGATCTCGACATAGACTGTGGATCCAGGGGAAAAACTCTAACTCATCCTCTCTAGCTTTTGGAGGGACCCTGCTAGCAAATGAATCGCATTGACTGAGTTTGGGGACTGTTCCCTTTCTGTGAATTTTATCTGTTGTCTGTTTGCTTGTTTTGGTCTCCTTAGAGTCCCCCTATAAAACACAATATACATCCT